GGGTTGTAAATATGATTATCTGATAATCTGTGATATGATGTTACTGTATTTGTGCAGTATATAGGCCTGTACTACACAGTATGTGTATGTACTGTACATGTGTAATCATATTTGTGATGCACAATCTTTTTTTTCGTTATCTGAATTGAATCAACTTGACTCGAGCATCTTCATAAACATAACGCACCTGAAAGGGACGCTCGTGGCGTCTACAGTATTCACTACTAAGTGAACATGGCAGGCTTTCTGTTGCTGTCAGCGTTCGCTGTAGGCTTTGATACGCCTCTTGTGATTGGCTGTGGTGGGGGTGGGCGGGGTTTAAACAGCGCTTCGTATATGTATACAGCAGGAAGCGCTCAACCACATTGGGCACAGAAAGCTTGAGGAAAGTGAGCGAGGACTGATGTAGGGTGCTTAGAGAGGACAACAGTGAGAGCTGTTTGTACTGTTTTTCGTACAGGACGGGTAGACCAAAGACAAAACACCTCTCCAAAATGCTCTGCCATGTAACTCGACCGGACGCGGTGGTGATGGAGATTGAAGTGGACGCGAAGGCGAACGGAGAGGACTGTCTGAATAAGGTAAGATGATGAATGAAAGTCTTAATGTGAAATGGATGTGATGTTTATTATTACACGTTTCTGAAGCGTGCATGTATACGATCAGCCCTCGCTCGTTACATATAGAAAATACGCACACATTCTGAAAAACAAAAGCTGTAGCCTGAGCGCGGAATGAATGAGTTGATATGAAGCACATGCAAACTTGATATCAACATCAGTCTATGTCTTTTGATTTCACGCGTTTATTTGGGTAAACATGACTACTTATTTTTAGCATGTTCTTAAAGCATTTTTAAGTCCCATTCGAACATTTCTTTCGTTCGATCATTCACACAAATAGTCAAATGTTAGGCTGCACATATTGTATGGTTCCAAAAAAAACAAAATAATCGTGCATGATAATTAACAGACACCGTGTGTTGTAGGTTGAACGTTTACGTTATTATTTCCAGAAAAAAAGGATGTTTGGTTATTCTAAACAATAGTGCGTGCATGTGTGATGGCATGCGCGAGGTTACTAAAGTTCATTCGCTTCAGCAGCAGATGTTTGGCTCGTGCATGGAGATACTACACCTCCTCCAGCGTAAAGGACAGAGTGGATGGGTTTGCAACATGTTATAAATGTTTTAGGGACATCTCTGAAGTTGTATTGTCTGATTTTTACACAAACCTCAAACTTTTTAGTGTAGCACCAATTTTGAAAACATGAAATTAAAGGAGATTAATGTTGCGTTTTCATGGCGATGTAGCTACCCTTACCAAAAAGTAGTATACTTCAAGTTTATTTTAGTACGTATACTTAAGTAAAGTTCAAGTATATTTTTAAGTATACTTTATGTAGCAAGTATACAAATATCAGTGTACTAGTAGTATACTTGTGAGTGTACTATTTCAATACTCCTTGGGACTAAATTGGCCCACTTTCTAGTATATAAGTATAGTTTAAGTATAACAGTAGTAAACTTTAAGTACACAACTAGTTTACATCAAAATGTTTAGGTTGTACTGCAACTATACTAAAAGTGAACTTGTATGAATACTGATTGTTTACTAATTAAATACTTGTAGTAGCATTTTTAGTACACTTTGAAGTATAGTCTCAGTAAACTACTAGTTTAGTAGTTTTATACTGCAAGTATACTCGTAAGTTTTCTTTAAGTGAACTTTACATCATACTTTAAGTGTACTACTATGTCCCTGTTTAGGTATTAATTTGTATATATTTTGTTATATAAATATCTGAACATACAAAACACCAAAAGAAAGAACAGGGTATCTGCTTGTAAACAAAAACATTTTATTCTAGCTTCATGCATTCTTTTTTTAAACACTTGAATGTGGGTAAGTTTTATAAATAATAATAAAAAAAAGAAATAAACAACATTTTGAACAAAAAGCTGAAAAAAGACTATGAATTGGATTCAGAATGATAATCAAAACGTAGATAA